AACAGTCTTTCACGGGACAGTATCCCTTTTAGGCTAGCACCAAGAAAAGCCATATTGCATTTAGAGAAACGCTGCACAGTCAGGCATAGTGGTGTATGCTTGTAATCCCAGCTACTTAGGACTCTGAGGCAGGAGCTTCACCAGTTCAGCCAGGCATGGTGGTACATGCCTGTAATCCTAGCATTTGGGAGACGAGGAGGATCCCTGCGAGTGTGAGGCCACCCTGAGCTACATATCGAGATCCTGTCTCAAAAACACAAAACAAATAAGCAGAAAGTAAAACTTAAATTTGAGGCCAGCCTGGACAACTGAGTGAGACTATCACAACAGTCTCCTCTCCCGCATTAAATGGGGAGGGGGGAAGGAGGCGTGGGGGTGCACGCCTGTAATCCCGGCACTGAGGAGGCTGAGGCAGGAGAATCACCCCAAGTTTGATGGCAGCCTGGGCTACATAGTTCAAGGCCAGCCTAAGCTACATAGCAAGACCCTGTCTCAAAAAAGCAACCAACCAAATTCTATACATACATACATACATACATAAAAACGATTCCTCCACCTGCCTCACAGCATGGTTGGGAGAACTGGGTGAGAATATTTTTTAAAATACATATTAGGGGGCCGGGGATTTAGTGCAGTGGTTCTGCCACCTGCCTCGAAAGCACAAGGACCCGAGTTCAATCCCTGGTACCAAACAAAACAAAACAAAACAAAACATATTAGGGCTGGGAATTTAGCTCAGTGGCACTGTGCCTGCCTTGCAAGTGTAACGTCCTGAGTTTAATCCCTGATACCAAAAAAAACCACATTAAACTACATGCTGCACATAAAAAAAAAAGAACACATTACTTATTTTGTTTTTACAACTACCTTAATATTTAATCTATTAAGTTATCTAAAACTCTTCCTATCAATTTAAAAGGGGCTGGCAGGTAGCAAAAGAAGAGGAAGAGATCAGAAGCAAGGCTGGAGGGCAAACTTTAGGAAACTGGTGAAGAAGACAGGTGGGAAAGAGAAAAGGAAAACATAAAAACAGGCACAGAACAATAACAAAAAACTAGAAACTGTGTTCAAACAATCAAGAAAAAACTAAACAAAACAAAAACTAGAAAGGAAAAACAGAAAGAAAAAAAAAATCCAGAAAAAAGATAAAAACCCCAAAAATGTCTAATTCAAGGTTCCTCTCTGCTGCCACTGTTAGGCAAGGGGCAAACAGAGTCCAGAGCCAAACTGATTAATTGTAACAAGCTAGCTGCAGCTTCACAGTGAGGTAGTGGATAATCCCAGCCAGCTTCCCCTTTAGTTCCTCTGAAGTTCAGACCAGTTTCTAGCTATGAGGCTGGAACCGCATTCTTTGAGCCTACAACAGTCTATGTATCTCCTGCTGGCTTGAACTCAGCTCCTTGACCTCCTGCTGACTTGAACTCAACACCCTCATTGAGGCACCGGGAGCCACTAGATAGTGTCTGCCCGCAGCTGTTCTGAATTCCAAGCTCAGCGGCCCCTCTCCAAGATGGCTACCAGCCAATTGCCCTCTCCTGGGTGAAGTCTGAACCTGGGTAACTCACCAGCCGCTGCAGTCCAGTGCGTCTACTGCTCTGTTGCACTGGTGCATTTCTCTGTGGAGGCCTCTGGGGTCATCAGCAGTCACTGTGTGCCTGCAGTTTCGGCCTGCTGTTGCCTCATGGAGAGGCCGGGCTCTGGGAGAGAGCTCTGCTTGGTACCTCCCTCCTCTTCATTAGAGTCTCTCTTCCTCTCCCTGTAGACTTCAATTCTCGCCTCAGATCCTTCCTGGGTCCTGGGGACCCTCTTCGTCTTTGTCTTCCTCTTCCTCTTCCTCTTCCTCCTCCTCCTCCTCCTCCTCCTCCAGCTGCTGTATTCCAGTGTCCGGACACCAAATCTCGGAGAGGCTCTTTCTCTGCTGCTCACCACTCCACCATCTTCCTAGAATGAGGGTCTGGGGTAATTCTCTGTCCGCACTTCCCCGTTACAGAGCCAGTCTTTCACTCTCTGATCACCATTTTATCTGCAAGACTGAAGCAACACTGAGTTTATCGCCACCTGCAGGCTCATTCAGTGCCTGAGAGTAACAGAGCAGTGTCATGGGGGACAGAGGGTGGGCAGGTCTTTCCCCCTGCATGTGGGGCTCTGGATGTAGGACCCTGTGGAGGGCCTGTGCACCGGGGCACTCTTTCTCACAGGGGAAGCCTGACGTTGGCTTTGCAAGGGAATGAGCATTTTAGTCAGACACCCAGAAGAGCGAGCTCAGATTCCCTAGTCTCATGGGAAGGTTTAACTTGGAGCCACCCAGCTGCTGCCAGGCAACCCAGGAGCATTGCTGAGGCCCTTCATTGGGCAATACTGTGCACCATCTCTCTGTAGGTATTTCTTGGGGAGGAGACGCGTTCACTTAATGAGAAGCCTAACTTTGGAGAATAAGCCCAAGCCCGTATCGGTCCCACCAAGCCAAGTCACCAACGCAATAATTTTGTTGTGTGGACTGTTTGTGTCTCCCCCAAATTCACATGTCAAAGCTCTACTGCTCAGCGTGATTGGTGACTGCATTCGGAGATGGGGCTCTTGGCAGGTAATTGGGGTTAGAGAAGGTCACAGGGGTGGGGCCCTGAGGGTGGGATTAGTGCCCTTAAAGGAAGAGAAAGAAAGCTTGCTCTGCCCATGCCCTGTAGCCTCCTCTGAGGACTCTGTGAAGGTGGCTCTCTATAAGCCAAGGAGAGAGCTCTCAACGGAAACTGACCATGCTGGTACCATGAACTTGGACTTCCAGCCTTCAGAACGGTGAGAAGTGAGTGTCTGTTGTGTGAGCCAGCCGGTCAGTTGTATTCAGTTGCGGGCAGCCAGGGCTGACTAAGACATCATGACAGGATGGATAAGGACAGTGAGGTCCCTTAACTTACCTGGACCTTGGTTTCTTCATTGCAGAGTAGGAAGGGTGACCCAGGGTTGTCATGGGTGGTCACATTGCTCTTTCTCCATAAATGCAGTGATTGCTGCTGACATCCATGTACAACTTTTTGAGCTCTTCAAGTCTCAGGGCTGGGCCTGGAGGCAAAGGTGAGGAGAACCAGACAAGTCCCCTGAATGCCTGGGACTTGGAATTACCAGAATCTCCAGCAGGCGGAGGCTGCTCTGGCGGAGCTCCTGGGTTCTGAGGGCCTCTGTGACCCACGCTGCATAGTCAGGGCGGGAGGGTCGCTTCCCCTGAAGTCTGTCCTCTTCGCAGCTTGGCGTTCAGTGCTGGGCTGCCATGGAAGGTTTTGTTTCTCCAAGCCCAAAGCAGTACTGCAGCCTCAGTGGGACAAGGCTTGCTGTCTTGGCTCCCGTCTGGGGCAGGCTCTGCAGTCAGTCGAGCTGCACCCCTTTCCTTCTCGAGGGCTCCTGGGCTCCTTCTGCCTATAGGGCTGATCTGGCTCTGGACACTCCTGGGTGGTAGGAGCCCCAAAGCTGACTTGGATTGTGGGGGGCCAGGGACACTGAGGTAAGCCCAGGAGGCCATGGCAGGACTTTTGGACCAAACGGACTGATCTAGGTGAGGTAGAAACTGGGGGAAGAGTTCAGATGGGGCCTTCCCTGGTTGCTGTGGCTAAAGCTGGCCAAACTGCAGCAGGAGGAGGACTTTCTTTATGGTCGGTGAGCTCCTTCACTGTGCCCTGCACACCAGGATTCAGCAGAAACAGGGCAATGACCCTGTGCTCTGCAGCCATTACTGTTAGGGCAACACAGACCATAAACAAGTAAAATACAAAATATGCTAGGGCTGGGGATTTAGCTCAGTGGTTCCGGCGCCTGCCTAGAAAGCGCAAGGCCCAGAATTCGATCCCTGGTACCCTCCCCCCATATGCTCAATGGTAACAAACACAAGAGGGACAAATAAGGCAGGGAAGACAGGGATACTATGGGGAGGGCGTGGTCCCTCCTACTGCCCCTTGGTTCTGTGGGTTCTCTGGCTGGAGCTAGGAACCAAATGAATACAAGGCTGGTGGAGAAGAGAGAAGTGCACGACGTGGGCATCTTCCCAAGAGAGTGAAGTCAGAGGAAGGGACACAAGCATGACGCACTTGTGCTTTCCAGACAAAGCGCAGCCAGTTTGTAAAGGAATGACCGGGTGCTCGGAGCTCTAGGGAGTGAGGAAGAGGGGCACGGGGCCAGGAGAGCCCTGGAAGACACGAGTTTATCAGGGGCTGCAGTCTCTGGTGACCAGGGCTGTTCCCCGCTTTGCGCGGGAGGACGCCCCCCTGCGGGATCTGCGCGCCTCGCAGGCCCTCTCTGAAGGTACAGTCCCGGAAGCAAGCCAACTCGGCGGCGGGTTTGAGGCCCACTAACCCCTTAGATGGGAAGTGCGTAGGCGCGGCCTTTCCGATGGGCCCCAAATAGGAGCAACATGGAAAACAGAGGCGAGGGAGGTGAGGGACTGGGCCGCGACCCGGGGGGCGGCACAGCCTGGGGGGGAGTGGCGGGCAGAGGTGAGCGAGGCCGGAGACCTCGGGGCGGCAGGAGGGCCTCTGCCGCAGCCAGCGGGGGGCGCTGTGCAGGTGGGTACGACCGACCGGACGAAGGGATCGCTTGGCCTGCTGTGGCGACCACCGGCTGCCAGGGCGAGGGCGGTCGCAGGGCGCGGCTAGGGGAGGTCACACCCCGAATCCAGCAGAGGGCGGGCCCTTCATCTCCGCTGTGCCGCAGCACGGCCATGGGAGCCGGCACTCAACAGATACCGAACTATTGGTGCCGGAGTTCCCACACTCAGATGTTATCCGCATATCGGAGTTACAGGAAAAGAGAGAGAACCCAAGCCCAGCCTCAGGAGGTCCTGATGGGGAAGACGAAATTGAATTTTTAGCGCAACCTGCAGGCATTTCTAGGCACGCAGGCACAGCCCTTTGTGCCACTTAGATACTATACTTGATCTTAGCTAAGAGGCCAAGAAAAAATTTTTATGTCACTTAGGAACACTGAGTTGTAGGTAACAGAGACTAACCAACAACAGCTTAGACAAACAGATTTATTATTATTCACGAGAATTCAGGAGAAGGATAGCTGCTGGCACTGGCTTGGTCAAAGGAGCTCTGTGATTCTCTTGGCCTTTTTCTCATGTAGCAAAGTGGCTGCTATGGTTCCAGGCATCACATCTTCAATCAAGGCAGGAAGAAGGGAGGATATGGGAAAGGAATTAGCCATGCCTCTTTTTTTCAGAAAAGCATAAGCTTTCCCAAAGCCCCTGCAGACTTCCACTGCAGTTTCATTGGCCATATCTGGTCACATGGTCACCGAAGGCTGTGAAGCAGACTGGAAATGTGAGAATCTGGATTTATAGCCTGTCTCATGGGAGGTGGGCAGAGGGATGGATTTGGGAACGACCATCGGAGTGCACCAGGGTGTCCGCCTTGGATCTGCTAGGTGACAGGATGCTTGAGCTCCCTTCTACTTCTGGGGCTTCATCTCCATGGGGCCTCTCTGGGGTCTCCGGTGGAACCTCAAGCATTCCCTTGGGTTCCTGCTCCACCTGGACACTCTCATCCATCCCTCCTGGCGGTGCTGGAAAGCAGAGCCTTGCATGTGCTAGGCGAGCACGCTATCAGAGTCACTTCCCCAGCCCTTTGCATTTTTAGACGGGGTCTTGCTAAGTTGCCCAGGCTGTCCTCAAACTTGCGATCCTCCTGCCTCAGCCTCCTAGGCTGCTGAGATTATCCATGTGTGCCACCATACCTAGCTGCCTGTCACCTTCAGTGAACGGCTTACAAAACCTGAGGAAGGGATTTTATTCTCCAGGGGAAAAGAAACAGGCCAGGCTTATTCTCTAACTCGTTAAAAATGGCATAGGAGTCAAAGGTTAAAATATTTGGGTCTCAGACAGGAAGAATGGGTGGATTTAAGGGAGCTGGCGGAGGTGTTTCAGGGGCCTCAGGGGACAGAGGCCAGTCCGCAAGCACGGCAGCGGGGTGCGCAAGCCACTGCTTATATTTCCAGAAGTCTACTGGGAATCAGTGTGCAGTTGCTTTCCAAAGAGGCTGCAGAAAGTTACTTTCCTTTTTGGCTAGAATTACATAGTGCTGTGGCCACACTGTGGGAAACGCAGATTGGCAGCCAGGACTCTCGGGGGACAGCGATAGTCACATAACCCACAGCTCTGAAGCCGGGTGGGAGGGGTCCCGGGGCGGGGGGAGGGGGGCAGAGGGTGAATGAAGAGTCCTGGGTGCCAGGGTGCTCTGGGGCCCGGGGGCGGAAGACGCTGGCAGTGGGTGCTCTTTCTCATCACGACCACCCCTGAGTGCTCGGCCTCGGGGCTCACGGCCTGGCCCTCAGAGCTGCCTTACCGGGGGTGTAAGATGCGCCCGTCCCAGTGGCTGACTGAGCTATTTTAACCAGGTCCCCAGCGACCCCTGTGCACGAGAGCGAAGTGGGAGAAGCGCTGTGGGGACTGCAGCCTGGCTAGGTGTGGTCATGGGCCCGACAGGAGGAGAAATAACAGCCCGCTGTGCAGGCGAAGCCAGGGGACCTGTCTTCCTCAGCCCCCTGCCCGCTGGCTGCCCGCTGGCTGCCCGCCTGCCCTTGCTCACCAACGGCAGCTTACCCTTTCTCTGCTTGGTGGCTTTCAAGGCAGCTGTCCTCAAGCTTGGCTCTGCCCACACCTAGACTCAGTAAAACCACAGGCAGAACGGTTCCAAGACCTGCCAGGAGCTGGGCTGCTCTGCTGCCCGGGCCCTAGAGGCTGTGCTGGCCGGGAGGGCGCCTGTCCCCTCTCCAGGCTGCGGGCCCAGGACCCGGGAGGGCGTGTGGCACTTTTCCTGGCAGTGGCTTCATTTGGGGGCAGGAGAGGCAAATGCTCAGAAGGAAAAGCGCAGGGGTCCCTAGCTGCCCAGGAACCGCTGAGCGCCCCGGGCCACACATTTCCATGGGAGCAGGTGTCAGCGTCACAGATGGCCCGGGACCCAGGCCCACGGGGTACAGAGGGCTGCGGAGGAGTCTGCGCCCGGGGTGGGCAGCGCGGGGCCCTACAGTGCCCTCTCCTCGCTGGTCAGCGTGGCGATTCTCCGCAGGTTCTCCCTGACTTTGATGAATTCCGGAGCGTGGTCCTCTTCCTTTTCCGGCGGCTTTTCTAGCTGCAGGAGAGAGAGGCAGAGGTGTGAGACGCGTGGGCTGGCCCTGGGCCCCCTCCCGGACGGGAGCGCCCCGGGAGGGCTCGAGTGGGGCTGGGGCCCTTCCCACCTCGTTCAGCCGCTGCCGCCGCCGCCGCAGCTCCTGTTCAAAGGGGCACTGCAGCCGTTTGGCCTCCAGCTCCTCCTCCTTCTTCTTGACGAGCTGGTTCCGGCGGCGGAGCTCCAGGACTCGCTGCAGCTCGGGCTTGCTGTCCACGCCGATGCCCCTGGGGCGGGAGGAGCGTCAGGAGGAGCCCTCCTTCCCACTTCCCCAGCCCCAGGGCGCCCCCTCAGTGACATCTGCACCGCCTGAAGCCCTGGGGGCGGGCCGTTGCCGTCCCTACCTCTACGGGAGGATCTGCCCCACCAGCGAAAGTCTCAGCTACAACGGGGCGAGGAGGGATTTGAACCCAGAGCTGCAGAGACCAGGTTTACCTGATCTCTGGATATTTTCTTAAGACAAGTTTCTAAAGGTAGAAGGGCTGGGTTGAGCTCCTTGAAAAGGCTATATGAGTACACATTTCCTTAGAACGGTTATGCAGTTGGTACTCTGCAGCCTCCTTCAAGAGCATCTGTTTCTCCTCTCATCACAGCCCATGTTTTTATATTTGAGAATCTGATAGGCAAGAAAAATATCTGGTTTCATGCAGAACAGCCTTTGATAGGTCTACCAGCCATCTGTGAATTAACTCTGCCTGCTTCTGTTCATCTTTTCCTTGTGGATTAAGAGGTATGAATATATTAATATTTTTCTGCATATACAATTTCTTCAAAATTATTTTTTTTATTACACATATTTCCCCTGGTTTGTCTTTAAGCCACTGTTTTTGTTTTTGTGGATCTGGGGACCGAACTCGGGACCTTGCGCTGGCGAGGGAGTTGCGGTGCCTCTGAGCTAAATCCCCGGCCCTGGGATAATCATTCTTAAAAGGCAGTCTCTGAATGTACTGTCATAATGCTAAGTGGGAAAAACAAAGCCCAAAGCAGCCCAGTGTTTTGGGGCTGTTTTCCCGGAGATGGGCCTCAGCTGTTCGGGTGTCAGTACCGCAGCCGGCCACCAGGAGCGGGGCTAGACGGCACGGTTACTGAATCCTGCTGCGGGTGAGCAGGGAGCTGGTTCCTGGGCCTCCCTCTCGCTCGTTCGTCTCCCGGGCGCCCTCGAGCCGCTCTCCCCAGGGCGTTACCGTCCTGCACGTCTCTGCTTTGGCGCCATTCCTCCCCACAGGGCCTTTCTGAGGCTCGGATGGACAGAGCGGGTGCCCCTTCTGCCGCGGGCCTGTGCCCGTCGCGCCCCTCCCGCCCTCCGCCTCAGCCACCCTGGGCGCCTCGGCGCCTGCCATTTGAACGCGGGAGTCCCTGGCATCCACGCACCACCTGCTCCCTGCTGACTCCTTCCCCACCTCAGGCCTTAGCTGAGGCGTGGCTGGTTTCAGGAGATCGTCTCTGACCCCTTCCTGGTTCCTCCTCTGGGGTCGCAGGCCCATTTATGCTACCCCCACCCACCCCATTACCTCTGCCAGGGCAGGAACTGCGTCCCCTTCTGGGGTGGTTTCGATCTGGGGGTCCCCCCCAAGCCTCCTGTGCCCGTAGGTGGGGCTTTGGGGAAGTGACTGGATCACGGGAGCCCGACACCCGGGGACTAGCCCACGCATGAGGTTATGGCTAAATGGGTTGCTGCTGGGGGAAGCCTAGCTGGGGGAGGTGGGCACTGGGGCGGGGCCTGAAGGGTCACTTCCTGCCTCCTGCTTCCTGTCGCCCTTCCATGAGCTGTTTCTCTGCCCTGCCCCTCTGCCACGCTGCCCTGCCTTGGAGCCAGCTGATTATCAACTGAATCCTCTGTAAACTGTGAGCCGTAATAAACCTTTCGTCTTTAGGGTTGCAGGTGTCCAGTACTGTGTCTCGGTGACAAGAAAAGTAACCCAGACACCTTCCTTCTTATATCCTAGGTCTAACCCCCCTGTGGCTGGGAGGAAGAATGGGGGGGGGCAGCAGTTATTCTCAAGGCCTGCACACTGAGCTATGTTCTAGCTTTTTTTTTCCTTTCAGTTGTGAGGGAGAATCTCCCTAAATTACTAAGTTGCCCAGGCTGGGCTTTAATGTGGGATCCTCCTGCTTCAGCTTCCCAGAGTACTAGGATGACAGAGAATGATGGGGCTTTCCGAGGCCCACTGGGGAGTGGACAGTCAGTTTCTTTGGGTGACCACGTGAGGCCCCCTCAGGCCCCCGTCGCCTCCAGGATGGCCAGGCCCGGCCTCTGTGAGGGGTGCCTGCCCACGTCCCAGCAGGCCTGAGCAGGCGCAGCCAGGTGCGCCCCTCACCTCCGGTGGTTCATGAGCAGCTCTCTGTGCAGTTCCTGGTGACTCCGGGAAGCCTTCACAGGGTTCGGCAGCTTTTTAGGCTTGATGAGCTCAGCGTTCCGCTCTCTGTGCTCCGGCCGGGCCATCAGGCCCCTGATGTCCACCTGCTCCCTCTGGATCTCCGAGTACATGGAGGCTGTGCAGGTGGGCAGAGGATGGGGTCAGAGCTGGGCGACAGCCCAGCCTTCCCCGGGGCAGTGAGGAGGGTGGGGTTTCTGCGTGGGGTGACCTCAGCCCCTGGCAAGACACCGACTTTCCACATGTTGCTCTCCTCATCTGTGAGGTTAAAATGGGAACTGAAGCCATGCACAGGGCTGCTGCAGGTACTGGAGATGATGTCGATGTCTAGGGCAGTGATGGCAACACTTTTAGAGCTTTCAGTGATAATAAATCACCCGCTACGGCATGCGTGCCACAGGTTCACTGCCATTGGTCCAGGCTATTCACGTAAGGTGGTGATACGGGGTCACAGAATGTGGGTTGACACTTGGATGCGTTTTTGGCCCGGTTTTGCAAAAAACAAAGCCCTCCCCAATAAAAGGAATTGTGTTTGAGCTTCTGCTTTACAATGGGGTTGTGCCAGCAAGAGAAAGGACATTTTGAAGGAAAGTATGTACTTCTTAAAGACCACTGAGATAAACACAGTGATAAAAGGAAGCTGTCATTCTGTTGTCTAGCGGCTCTCCAGAGCCCCAGATTTGCTCTTGGAAATGTCCAGCTTCCCCCTCTGCCCACAGCAGAGAGCAGAGTATGAAGTGCAGGGGCAGCTGTGTCTCTAGTTACAAAGGGATGGTTGTCAGCTTTTAGCAAATGTCTGGCTACGCATGGCCGTGCTCTGCCCGAGCAGCTTGAAATTTGTCAGTGTACTTGAAATTCAGGCAGAAGGGTTCCCTCAGCTACAAACTGCTGCTTATCCTTGAAATGTTTAAGCAAGTAGAGAGCGAGACAGAGAACTTAAAAAAAAGTCTTGGGGCCGGGGATGCTCTCGGTGGGAAGGCTCCTGCCTTGGATGTGTGTGGCCCTGGCTTCGATCCCCCCATGTCCAAAAAATCCTTTAAAAGCCCTCAAAGGGACAGCCACTGCCTGGCCTTGGCTGCCCGTAGCACTCTCAGGGGACATTAGACCTGTGCTCTGCCCTCTTCATGGGCCTGGCTCTTCCAGGGTTGAGCCCCTTCTCTACGCCAGGCACGGGCGGTGTCCGGTTGGGTGTGTATCAGGCAACAGTGGATACCTGTGGGTCACTGATATAAGACAGGACCACAGGGAAGGGTGCCTCAGCACGTGCCCTCCCCGAGGCAGCACAGGGTGGTGTCCCCGCCTCCCACATGGGCTTCGGTCACCTCTCAGGACACCAAGCTGGGCAACTGGGAAGAGGATGGGGAAGGAGGTGGGCGGGGGTCTGTGTGACAGCCGGGCGGTGCCAGCAGCAGGGGGGGAAGGAGACAGAGGGGCGGGATGTGGTGGGGCGCAGGTGGGAGTGCGGGTGCTGAGCGGGAGGCTGGGCTTTGCAGCGCGGCATTTCCGGGGCCTTCAGGAGGATGAGACCACATCTGTGAGTGCTGTGTAAACTGGAAGAAGTGTTACTTACTATCACTGGGATGTAGCCAGGTTAAGTGTCAGAATACAGAAGCGTATCTGGTCTCTCTTTCTTGAATTAACATTCTCAGAACCATTTCTAAGACGAGAATTCTAATTAACGTCCTTTCTTTTCATCTTTTGCACAAGGCTGCTTGTTTTCAGGTCATATCCTTTCTAAGTTTTTGGCTCTAAACTGTGACTGCGAGAGTACATGGTAGTTTAAAATGGGCCCTGACAAATCAGCAGGCGCCTGTATTCCCTCCTACACCTCCCTCCCGCTCCTTGATACCTGCTTCTCTCACCAACCTGCAGTGACCCGTCTGCTGAGTAATTCTCATCTATACTTCCATGTCCTCCCCTCATTCTCTCCATGTCAAAACCTTCCTTTCTCTCCTTCCTTCCTTTCTCTTTTCTTTCTTTCTTTCTTTCTTTCTTTCTTTCTTTCTTTCTTTCTTTCTTTCTTTCTTTCT